CATCAGTCATGGTAGCCTATGAGATGTTGAAGAATGGTTTTGTACTCGGCAAAGGTTTGGGCTCACCTTTGCAAGGCATCATACAGCCGGTGTCCCTTCCTGAAAACTTGGGAACGTTTGGTCTGGGATTCAAGCCCACTGTCGCAGACATAAGAAAGGCCAAAAAGCTAAAATAGAAGACATTGGTCCTTCCAAAGCCAGTCCCACATCTTTCCAAATCATTTGTCAAGTCTGGTACCAGAAGTCGCCCAGTAACAACAATTCCCAATTCTATGATTAATCCTGACGAGGAATTAATCGAAAGATTTGAAAAGTTGTTTGATGGTGTGAACATGGTGGAAAGTGGTGAAGGTCCTAGCATCGCAGAAATTCAATTCGTTGGACCAAAAACAAAGCTTAATAATTGGAAAGTCACTCATCTCCCCATTCGAAAAGAGTCTTGGTAGTTTATTTTGATTTTCCTTCAGTTTGTCTGGATTATTCCAGGGTTGTAATCCAGATTTTTATCTTTCAGTCTGTTTGAAGTGTGCAAACCTTGTTATCTTTCATCATTCAATGAAATGCAGTTTCCCTTTCTTTATCATTCCTGATAGTTTTTCTTTTGTTTTCTTTTCTTTTCTGTACAGTTCTTTTTACGCTGGCTCTAATGATATGGCATGTATAAGGAATCCTCAGTTCAGTCTTAAAAATTAATCTGATTCCGAAATAATAGTTCAAGAAGTAGATTGTGATTACGAATCAGAATACGATGAGGATGTGGCCTTCGAAGAGATTAGTAAGGAGTTAATTCACTTCGAAGAAAAACCCAAACCCAACCTGAATGATACAGAAGTCGTCAATTTAGGAGATACAGATAATATCTGAGAGACTAAAATAAGTGTCCACCTCGAGCCAAAGATCCGGGAAGAGTTAATCAAAGCACTCATCAAATTCAAAGATGTTTTTGCATGGTCATATGACGACATGCCGGGTTTGAGCACTGATTTAGTGGTTCACAAATTGCCCACTGATCCAGTGTTTCCTCCCGTCAAGCAAAAGTTGAGGAAATTCAAAACTGATATGAGTGTGAAAATTAAAGAAGAAATCACCAAACAGTTGGATGCAAAGGTCATTCGGGTCACTCGATATCCTGTTTGGTTGGCTAATGTCGTGCCTGTGCCAAAGAAAGACGGCAAGATCAGAGTATGCGTCGATTACCGCAATCTCAACAAAGCAAGTCCGAAGGACAACTTCCCACTACCCAATATCCACATTTTGATCGATAATTGTGCCAAACATGAGATAGGATCTTTTATGGATTGCTATGCCGGGTATCATCAGATTCTAATGGATGAAGAAGATGCAGAAAAGACGACATTCATCACGTCATGGGGAACTTATTGCTACCGGGTAATGCCATTTGGTGTGAAGAATGCCAGGACAACTTACATGAGAGCAATGACTACAGTGTTTCATGATATGATACATAAGAAGATTGAGGTATATGTGGATGATGTGATCATAAAGTCAAAGCGTCAAGCCGACCACGTTGGGGATTTGAGGAAATTCTTCCTGAGACTTCGCAGGTACAACCTCAAGCTTAACCCTGCCAAGTGCGCATTTGGTGTTCCATCCGGAAAGCTGTTGGGATTCATAGTCAGTCGGCGAGGCATCGAGTTGGACCCATCAAAGATCAAAGCCATCCAAGAATTGCCACCTCCGAGGAACAAGACTGAGGTGATGAGTCTGTTAGAGAGATTGAACTACATCAGCAAGTTTATTGCTCAGCTCATAACAACTTGTGAGCCTATTTTCAAATTGCCGAAGAAGGATGTTGCGGTCAAATGGACTAATGAGTGTCAAGAAGCATTTGATAAGATAAAAGGATACTTGTCAAACCCACCTATGCTGGTTCCGCCAGAACTAGGGAGACCTTTGATTATTTACTTGACAGTTTTGGAAAATTCATTTGGCTGTGTACTGGGGCAGCATGACATTACCGGCAGAAAAGAACATGCTATCTACTATCTTAGCAAGAAGTTCACGGCTTATGAGGTTAAGTACACTCATCTGGAAAGGACATGTTGCGCCCTAACTTGGGTGGCTCAGAAATTGAAACATTATTTGTCATCCTACACTACTTACCT